ACTGAAAATAAAAGACTCCAACTCCACTGATTTTCTTGAAAAAAGTTATACAAGTCCACTATAAGCCTTTTCTCTTTCCAGCCTTTGGGCTTGCATTTCTTTCCTGACAAGAAAAGCGTCTTCAAAATTGCCCGCGTCTGCATAAATATTATGAAGAAGCACCCTGCTTGGACCGTGGGACGGTCCTACATGTGCCAAATTTTTCGCGGCCCTTTTCCCAATTTCTGTGTTGCCATGTGTTTTACTCGCCGCTAAAAGTGCACCCCACACCACAACATCGGCCTCCATAGGCATACTCCCTATAAGCCTTTCTGCCTCCTCCAACCTTCCGGCTCTCCCCAAAAGATCCACCATGCAACCATAATGTTTGATGTTTGGTTCTATACGGTACAGCTCGTTCATCCTCTTGAAGTGGCGTTCACCCACTTCCACCAGCCCGGCATGGCAACAGGCAGTCAAGACACCAATGAATGTGATATGGTTGGGTTTTATATGACGCCTCTCTAAATCAGAGAAAATGTTGAGTGACAGCTCAGCATGACCATGCATGGCTAGCCCACATATAATCGCATTCCAAGGGGAGACATCGGTTGATCTCTCCTGGATTTGACTGAACAGATCTAAAGCAGTATTAATGTTGCCACATTTTGCATACATGTCAATTATAGCAGCACTCAAATTGTCATTTAAAGGAATGGAGTTCTTGGAGATGTACTCGTGGGCCCATTTACCTTCTTCCAATATTCCTAGAGTAGCAATTGCAGAGAAGACACTGACCATTGTGACTTCGTTTGGTTTAATGCCACTAGCCACCATACTACGGAAGAGGTCAAGTGCTAAATCGGGTTGATTCGTTTGTGAATAACCAGATATCATTGAACTCCAAGAGAAAACGTCTCGTTCGGGCATCTGGTCGAATAGAGACCGACCCGCATCTACTTTCCCATTTCTAATTAATCCTGCAATGAGAGCATTCCAACACACAGGGTGGTCTTTGCTACCTAATTCAAACTGGACACAAGAGAGATCGGTTTCCCCACAAGCAGCATAGAGATGGATAATTGTTGCCTGAATGAAGTCGTGGCAATCCAACCCCATCTTCAATGCCACACCATGAAACTGCTTACCTTCTGAAATTGCCATTGTTCTTGAACAAGCAGAAATCAAGTCTACAATCATAATATCATTTGGTTTTAGGCTAGTACGAAGCATTTTGATATATAACCCCAAGGCCTCGTGTAACCTCCCCACTTGAATATATCCATCAATTACAGTGCCCCAAGAAACCACATCCCTGTCGACCATCTGCTCGAAAAGCTTCATCAACAAATTCACTTGCTTAGTCTTTGCATATCCATTTAGCATCACATTCCAAGAAACAATATTCCTCTCAGGCATTTCATCGAACAGCAGGCTAGCATCTCTCAAATAAGCAGAGATGCAATACACGTGTAGCAAATTAGTGGAAACGTGAACAAAACCGTGAAGTCCAAGCTTCAATACCAATCCATGAAGCATTCTCCCACTCTTAATCCCACCACATTCCAAACAAGCAGAGATCATGCTACCAAGAGTAACCTCATTGGGAACCAATCCCAAGCATCTCATCTCCCTGAAAACATGGACTGCGTTGTTCAATAACCCCTTACGAACTAGAACCTTGATGATAGAAGTATATGAACCACAATTCTTTAAAGGCATTTTATCAAACAGTTGGCACGCCTCATCTACATGTCCTAGTTTAGCATAACCAGACATCATGATGTTACACGAAACAGGATCTAACCGAGGGATCGAATCAAATATCTTCCTAGCATCCCCAATCCATGCACATTTCACATAAAAACTCATCAAACTATTCACAATAAAAATGTTGGAATCAAGCCCCGATTTCAAGATAAGGCAATGAAGCCCTTGGCCATAGGGGATAGAGGCTTGGGCGGAACAAGATTTCAAAGCAGAAACCAAAGAAAGCTCGTGATCAGGGAAACGAACAGGCACCATTTCTGGTCTTCTGGCGTAAATCATTTGTGAAGAGGAGGAAATGAACCTATGGATCACCAGAACTGGCATCTGAAACCTCTGCTTCAAGATTCTTTGTAGAGAGAGACACTTCTGGTTCTGCACCAAAACAGAAAAAATCATGTGAAATTTCGGGTGAAGGGGAAATGGGAAATGGGTTAAGGGGATAGAGTTTGCTAAAAATTTGCAGAGCTTTCAATGTAGCATATCTCTTCCTCACCGTGTCCAGCAAAAACTTCATAGTACAATTGGCTCTCATCTACTTCCTCTTCGCCTTTTGTCAACAGCTCCCATCATCAAACAACTTGACACTGAAAAATTCAGCACAGTAAGGAGTATGAATTTACTTAAGATGGTGTTTGGAAATGAAAAGAAATGGATTCCCACACAAGAATTGTACTAAATCATTATTGGAACACAATTTCAAGCCAAAAAAGAAACCATCAACAGTTCTACAAAAAGTAGGGGAAAAAACATCAGAACTTGTTTAGGAATTAGGTCTGAATTGATTTTGGGATGGAATTGATCTAAAAATAAGAGATTACCGATTAGCCTCACTGTGCCGCAGCTAGCCTTTCGTCATCTTCTTGAGAAGCTCCATCGCCGCATCTTCTCCGGCAGAGGATCGCCGTCAGCTTTTCAGCCTATCGGTTTAGGTTTTTTGTGGGTCAGTTGACTCAGTTCTCAAAACAAAAAATCAAACCAAAAAAACTAAAATAAGAATAAAAGATTAAAAATATACCAAAATATGAGTTTATATTTTTATTTTTGAAGTATGGAGTAAGTATTAAAATTTATTAAATTACCAATTATGTTCATGTATATTATCAAAAAGTATAATAAAATGCATATTTACAATGTCACATTACTACAATTCCGAAATCATATTTTTTTTATTTTTTTCAATATTTTACTCATATTTAGGATAATTTCTTAAAATCAAATTGAAAAGCACTCAAAAAAATCAAACGGAAAGTAAAAGTTATGTTCTATTTTTACAGTTGGATTTCATGTTTTAAAGTGTTATGCTTACATCATGATCTCAAGGTACATAATTAAAATGTGCATCTTCTCATAGTAAGTGATTTTTTACAAAAATGTGCATTTACAAAAGGTCCACTTATTTTTTTACACCTAGCAAGTGATTTTTTACAAAAGGTCCACTTATTTTATGTCAAAAATATACTAAGCTCCATAAAAAGAGTATAAACATTAGATCCACGAAAACTATTTTCGGTGTTAAAAAATAATTTGAAGTATTTTTTTATTTTTAATATTTTATTATTAAAATTGATAAATTTTTATCATTAATAAAATAAAATTGATAATGGATTTCAATAATTTTTCAAAACATTTTAAAAATATTATTTAATTTAATTAATATATCTCGAGTAAGACATTATCTGTCACATCAAGGTCACATATCAACCACGACATGCACATTCAATGTGGAAGGATATTTGAAACACACATTCCACTCCTGGGATTTTTTCGGTGGACAAGAATAATTCTTTTTATTTTTAGGTGTTGTTTTTCATTGTAAAATGTTGGTGTTAGAGTTTTACTCTATCTTTATTTTCCTTTAAGAGACATGCGAATCAAGTTGCTCATTTATTAGTTCGAGCATGTAATTCTATGTTTGATCGCAATCATCAAATGGGATTTGGCTATTGTACCTTCAACTCATACATTTTAAGCTTTGCACTTTGATATGATGAATTAATAGAAGTACCAATCTATGCATAGGCTTTGCATTTTAAGCTAGACATTCATTGATGAAAAAATCACCCATCTCACTCTATGGTGATCCGAACACAAGATATCTCAAAAATGCAAGGGTGATAACCAAATGAACTGTTCCAATTTATGCATAAACTTAGGACTTGTACTCTCTTCATCTGATCTCAATGATTCTGATTTGATTGGAATATGTTTTGATCTGGTCTGATCTGATTTGAACCAAATATAATTATATTTAAAGTCATTTTTAATAACCAAACTCATTCCAATAAGAATAAGTTATAAGAGAAAGTTGAAGAAAACATGCTCTTAGTTTTGTTTATACTCCCTTATGTCTTAAAATTTTATGGTCAATGCTTATCGATTTTGATTGTAAAAAGTCAAAATTGGACAAATACTTTAGGAGGGAGGTAGTATAATGTTAGACACAAGAACAGGGTCACCATGTAGAAGCAAAAAAGGTCATTGGATTGTCACCCGAATGAGGAGTGTTGTTAGAATATTTTTCACATCAGGAATTTGAGAGGAAAATAGTAATTGATTGGACTCAATCTTTTAATATAGTTCAACGTAAATGTATTATGCCTTATTTGAATAACCTCTACCATTTGTAAATTCTATCATAGTATCAGAGTGGATTTTGATACACCTCGCTTTGTCAAGGTGTTCATCTAGAAGTTTATTCCTAGTGACCCTTGAGTCTTTACTCTACTTGCCGGTATGGAGTATATATATACCAACAATATGTGCCCAATTTAACTTGATTCTTTATCTATACTGTAAGTGTTTTCACTGCAATCTTAATATTGGTTTCAGGGGATAGGAACTCATTTGCAAATGGTCAACTCTTTAGATTCAAAATGACCTGGCTTGTTGTTAGATGGGGAAATGTTAGAGGGTATCCCACATCACAAAATTGAAAAGAAAATCATGGATATATAAGATTTTAATGAGTTAAACCAAGTAATTGATTCAATTTAATTTTTAATGTCTTTTAATTAAACTGTTTTGTTGTTCATACCCAAACTAAAGTCTATCAAGAGCCTAGGGGATGAAGTGGGGTACAACGGGTGAGCTAAGGGTGTGGGTTTGAGGGTGGGGGGGGGGAGGTATGAAGTTTATGATCCATCTCTAGATGGAGGCTAGCATTATATCAGACTCAAATAGACCAAATGTCATAAATTCATAATATGTCATTAAAATCTATTATCAAATGAATTTTAGTTTTTTAAATTGGTGTTAGCATTTAAGATTTCTTTAATGATACTAACTAATCTCTAAAATCTAAAAATTAAAACATGATAACAAAATATTGCTCAAGGAGGGTGAACTATTTTATTCAATGAATTGCATATATAATCCGTACATTATTATAACACTTCACCTCTATATATACCCCTGCATCAATTTTTGCTAGACTTTTTTCAAAAAAAAAAAGAAAATGAAAAGAAAAAGTCAAGTATATGTATATATATAAACAGCTTCTTCATCATCACTTCTAGTCTTGTTTGCCAAGTCTTTCACTTAAAATCCTCACTCCCATGTACCTGCATATATATTAATGAAAACTAATCAACAACAAACACTGAATAATTTTATTTTATTTATCCTATGAAAAACTTCCATATATTTATTCAATTAACTCGAAAAAATCAAATTAGAAAAATAAATAGAAACAACATAGGATACTCTATTTGTACACCAAACTAACAGAGACACGCACAGACACACAATGTCTGTGCATCCATAGACATAATGTGTTTGTGTTAGGTTAGTGAACAAATATGGTACCCCATGTTGGGGTACCCTTTACCTTCCGAGCATCATAACAGTTGCCTGAGGGTTAGTTCCCGGAGAATAATGGAAAGTAGACCCATCCACCACCCGGAGATTCCCAACTCCAACCACCTTATAATCATCGTCGACGACGCGGCCGATCTGGCAACCACCATGGTAATGCCAGATCGTCATCACCGTGTCCCGACAATACTGCTCCAGGTTCACCGGCGCACCGGCGTGCTTAGGCAACAGGTTCACCGGCGCGGCGGCGGTCATGTTGAGCAGGATCTGCCACGACATGTCGTCGTATTTGAACCGGGAAAACGGGCGGGACTCCACGACGGACTCGATGACTCGGATCCCCTCCACGCAGCGCCGAAGGTCCTCCGGTTCTTGGAAGTAGTTGAAGGTGACGACGGGGTTGTCGTCCGGGCTCCGAGTTCGGAGCGAGAGGTTGCCAGAGGAGATGGGCCCCATTATCTTCTCCAGGATGAAGCCTCCTTGAAATGCCGGTGGCTGTAGCTGGCTCATTGCTTCGATGGCGGCGGCTATGGCCTCCGGCGTTCTTTGTTTTGGCGGCACCGTCGATAGTTGTCCGATCTGTATTCATTTATCATTGGATAATTTACCTAAATAGGACTAAAACATAATGACTTTCTCAATATAGGACCATATGTTTTTATTTTCCAATGTAGGACCATTTGTCATTATCTATTAGTCATTATTCAACTAAATGTTCAGCATCACTTCGACATTAATCTTCTCACTAGTCATTATTAAGTCATATTTAGGGAATAAAAAAGTTTAAGTTCTACATTGGGAAATGACTTATGTGTTAATCGTATTCAGTGCAAATTTCACTTTATCATTCCCTATTTTTAGATTCATATAAGTAAAAGTTACACTATTTTTAATATAGAAAAACATTTTTTAGCCGTCTCATAACTAAAGGTATAATTAGTGCAGTATGTGTTAATCATTTGGTAAAATAAAATAGTTACGTCATCTCAGTATTTTTGATATAGTTTTTGAAAATGTAAGCTTTATTATTTTTGTTTCAATACTAATTTTTTTTAAAAATGATTTTAAAGAGCATGAGGTTTTGGCTCTTCGAAATGTGCATTTAATTATGGGATAGACGGAGTACTTGATTGTAATTTGCTTGGAGGAAAGAAAGTAATATGAATCACACTTTTTTTCCCAAAAAGTGAAAGAAAATTTTGAAATAACTCAAAAATGAAAATAAACTTAAATCCTATCTTCTTTTAATATACAAGCAATATTTTTATTGATCATTTATTTAAAAAGAATAATAATTAAGTTACAAACTCCTTTTGATCATATAAATTTTTTTGTTTTAACGTTTTTAGTCAAACAGTAACACTCTTTGACCACAAATTGTAAGAAAATATATTTAATTATAATATAAATTCAATAAAATTAGATTAATCTTAGAATATAGTTTTGATATATCAAATTTTATATAATTTATTTATTTAGATTATATTTTACTTATAGTCAAAGAGTATTATTGTATTTGACCAAAAAAGGTCAAAACATGAAATATTTTAGGACCGGAGGGAGTATTATTTTGTAAATTTAAGAAATTCTAATTTTAATTTATGTGATATAAAAAATAAATTAAATTAAAAATCATTTCCGCAATATATATATATATATAAATCAGGATCGAGCGGCCGAAGTTGTACCTGAGGGGAGAACATTCCGTAATGAGTGCTGGAGCCGCCGAAGTTCTCGCCGGAAGCGGCTTCAATGTAGCTGCCGGAGGGGGTGATTCCGACGACCTGGATGAGGGAAACCTCGACGGGAACCGGCGACGGGATGTAGACGGCGTTCATCGGGTTGTCGGACATGCCTTGCCCGACCATGGGCTGGTCCAATACAACGCTGATGTTATGGGCCCGAAGATGATGGGCTGGGCCTATTCCGCTGAGCATTAGCAGTTGTGGGCTGCCCAGTGCTCCAGCGGACACGATGATTTCGTTCATGGGCCCCCTCATCAAGATTGCCCGGTGTCTTGTCCCTGATGCATCTCTGAACACCACTCCATTGGCCACTATCTTTGATTTTCCTGCATTTTTTAAAAAAATAAAATTATGTCATTAGCTATTTTTTGGGGGGTAAAATTGTAAATTTAGACTTTATTATACCACTTTTTTGTCATTAGACTAGTGTACCTAAATAAGACTCTAACTTTGTTCATTCATAGCTAAATAGGAGTTGCAATGTGTGAAAAATGACCATGAATGCTGTAGTCCAGACATTATTTTTTCTCTCATTTTTTAGCCAGTACTCTCTCCATCCTATAATGTTTTTCCCGGTTCTGTTTTTGAGGTATGATCGACTTTATTTTCAATTTAATTTATTTGATTGTAGGGGAAAAATTAAAAAATAAAATTCATATATTTAAAAACTATATCAAGAGTTCTATCAATATGTCATTGTCTAAGTATATCAACCATCAATGTTTCAATTTCTCATAGCCACATTTTGGTTGAAAAAATCAGATTCATTTTCATATATCTTTCTTACGATAAATTACAAAAAATTAAATTTTAATATAAATTTAATATCAATAAATTTATTTTAAAAAATACTTTTATAATTTATATTAATTTAATAACACAGATACTAAAAGTCAATATTTTGTATCAGAGACTAAAAAATTGAGAATGAAAAACGAAATGAGAAGGTAATACAGAGTAGAATAATTGTACCTTTGACCCCACATTACAAAAGTGACAATGTTTACTCTCTTCGTAAGTACTCCGTATTTGTTAATTTTTACTTTTTTGGTTAAATTTAGCGAACTTTAATCCCAAATTAAATAAAAATGACGTTACAAATTGATTCAAAAATAAATTTATTAGATTTACCATGCAACATATATTTTATTTAATTATTGCTTAAAGATTGAAAACGATTAATTGAAAAAAATTACTCCCTCCGTCCTGAAATTAATTTTCCATTTTGACTTTTGCAGTCAAAGTTTTTTAAACTTTGACTGCATATTACGGAAAAAATATATTGAATTTTCATATAAATTTAGTATCAATAGATTCATTTTGAAACATAGTCTGGAAATATATTATTTTGATAATATATATTCATATAAAAATGGAGATATTAATGGTCAAAGTGCTGCATTGGAGACCGTGAAAAGTCAAATGGGAAGTTAATTTTAGGACGGGGGAGTAAAACTGATCCATTTTTGTGGGGTTTTAGTTTCATTACACAACAAATTTTACCTCAAAAAAAAAAAAGAGAGTAAAAAACACGGAGTAATTAATTACCTTTGTTGGTAAACAATATTCGGTGGACGGAAGCATGCAAGAGCACAGTAAGGCGAGCCGGGTTAGCATACTCCAGAAGATCGGCGGCGGTGTGACGGTGGCCGGAGGAGTTGAAAATGGTCCCACCCACCTTAGTCCCACTAATATGATCATAAGTGAACCCATTGTACGGCCGAATCCCGGCCTCCAGCAACCCCTCCCTCACGGCCGACTGCCACGCCTTCACCGGCGGCCGGAACGCCACCTTCTCCTCCACCCACTCGTACGACTCGTTCACCGCCCGCCCGTCCCACCCCATCCGCCTCACGAACTCGGGCGCGGCCCGCGAGTAGAACCCGGCGTTCAGGCAGCTCCCGCCGCCCAGAACGCGGGCCCGCGCGTTGATGACCCCGTCCTCCGAGATGAACCTCTGGGACGGGGAGGACTCCGAGAGGTCCGAGAGGGCCGCCCCGAACGCCGACATGTGGGTTATGTTCGGGTTCCCGTACGGCGACCCGCCCCGCTCCAGCACAAGCACGCTGTAGTTCTGCGACAGCGTCGCCGCCAGCGGGCACCCGGCGGTCCCACCGCCGATGATGATGTAATCATAGTGTGACACTTCCGGCGCCGCCGTTGCTTGCCGCAGAAACGAGTAATTCGGAGCTGCCCGTGAAAAAGAGAGTCATCTATATATTTATACTAGGATATTTTTCAAATTAAATTTTTTCGATATATTTTTTAAACTAATTATTTCCTTAACGTAATGTAGGTTTATTATATTTTTTTCAAAGAAAAAAAAGAATAACAATATAATAAAAGTCAAAGACTGGTGTTTATAATTTAAAAAAAAGGAAATTAAAAATTAAAATAAGAAATGAATAGAGAAAGAACCTTTTTCAGCAGAGGCGGCATGGAAGAGAAGAAGTCCAAGAAGGGCTAGAATGAGAGATTTACAGAGACAAAAGGCCATTTTATTTTTATTTTATTATAAATAAATAAAGAAATAAGAGATTTATATATATAATAGGATGGGATAGATAAATAATGGATTAATTAGTGTAAAATGCAGCTGATTTATATAATAGTGCCATGTGCAATAATATAGGCAAGAATATTGAGAAGTATAAAGGTTGCTCTATGGGGTTTGTAGGCTATGGAAGTGAACACTTAAAGAAACAAGACCATGCATGCAGCTTTTGTGAATTGATCATGTATATATGGTCTTTTTGTTATTTACATTAGTACTACTCCCGTCCCAATTTAAATTACGTATTTCGGTTTATGATCTTTGAATGAAATTATTTTCAACCCCTTTTATATAAAAAATCATGTATGATTAATAAGTAAGAATTACATATTTAAAAACTACATCTAAATATCTACAAAACTAGTAGTGACACGACTATATTATTTTATCATACGACTAACAAAAATAGGAGAAGAAAGTGCATGAAGTTTGATCATGTGAATAGTAAATATGTAATTTAATTTCAGACGGAGGAAGTAATAATCACCACACAAATTTAATGTAAATTGTAATTATACGCATCTGTCCCAAACAGATCTTTGTATTTGACTTTCTTTTTAGTTAAACATTAATTGCAAATTGTACGAAAAAAATATTTAGTTATGTATTAATTACTTTTTACGTCTCTAAAAGAATTTGTATTTTGATATTTAGGAGGAAACTATAGACGTTTGACCAAAGCTAAATGAAAACATTCAATAAAAATGGTGTTCATGAAGTATCATAATTGGATCTTGTAAAAGCATGGACATTTATGTCTCTTTAGACCAGTGAAAAGTTTTTTAGAAAATGAAAAATGAAAGAAGAAAAATTTGTAAGAACGAAGGGAGTATAATGTAAATATAATATTGTATAATTGAGTTAATGTAAGATATGATATAGTATACTTTCGTTCCAAAACATGAATAGTCTTATTTCAAACAACGTATAAAATTCTATCTATTTCAAAATTACTTTATTTACAAATTGATTTTAAAAATAAAAAAATTAGATTACAAATTAAACATTTTAAATTTTTAAATTATCAATAAAAATATATAAATAAAAAAAGTGATCGAAACATTAAAAATTTAAAATATAATGGCGAGAGTATTTTTGAGAGTAAGGAAATATAAATTAATGAGACATAAAAACTCCCACCAAACATGATCCATGCAGTCTAACTCTAAATCGGTGGTAAGCATTGCATTTGCAACCAATAAAGCGGTGTTGGAACCATATCAATCAATGCATATCTACTACTACCGTTAAAGGCTGTCACTTTTATTCGATTTAATATCAATCATGTGACATCTCTTATTCAATCTTATTCAGGAAAACAAAAAAGTATCAAGTGAATTAAGACGCAAATTTAATTTTTGGAAAATATATTAGGAGAAAACAATGCTAATTACAGAGTTCATTCTTTGCAGTTTTTCTCTTTTCAATGATAGTCCGACTGAATTTCAAAGAATTCTTTGGGGATGAGGCTCAACTTTTATTTAGAAGTTTATAATAATGTCACTCAGCCACAAGATTTTTAGTTATTTCTAATCATATAAGACAAATTTCAATCGTTAATTAAATAAAAACAATATTACTTATTAATATAAGCTGATAGGTATATCCCTATACCCGACCCGGACAATCGAAAGGGACAGGTCAAAGTATGACCGGTCACTTTTATCAATCACCAAATGAGGTTAACTCTTCGATTGGGACGGGTCAAAAGTTGACCGGTCATTTCCACTAAAAAAGTGACCGGTCACATTTTGGGCGATAGCCAAAATATCACCTTATGCTACGAAGGATATTCCGGAAGACCAAAAAGACGGGTTGAGCGCAAGAAATGACCGGGTAACCTTTGAGAGAAGGTGACCGGTCATATCACTTTACTTGGCTAACATTATATTGGTCCAGTCTCTTAGGCATGGTGAACCACGTCAGAGGTCGAGGGAACACCCCGCCGCTCATCCATCACGAGGCACACAGTGAAAGGGATGTTTGTCATTTTGCAGGGTTGATTGGATAGAGAATATCCATTTTAGTCTTTGATTGAACAGTGCTTTTTGGTTGTATTAGTAACAAGTCCATGATTGTACAGTGCTTCCATTATCTACAGTGACCTTCCCACGAGCTTCCTATTTTGTCCATGGATGAACAGGGGAAGGTCACAAATCCTCCTCTATAAATATGATGATATTTGATAGAGGAGGGGATCCATTCTTTCTCTCACTAAAAACTAGTACACTCTTGAGACAGAGTAAGAAGTATATTTCGGACTGAGGAGATTTACCCGGTCTAGGTCATACTTTGTGTTCTTGTTGTGTGTTTTATATTACGGGTCAAGTGTCTAGGTTAAACCCGGTTAACCCGCCCAGCTATATTTACACCATCATTTTTGGCGCCCACCGTGGGGCCGATTTTTTAAAGTTTTTTCGACCAGGTCAAAACTTTACCCCCACTAAATATCCACAATCATGTCTTCGAGCAACCCCAACACTGTGTCAAGCCAGGCTGTGAGTGAAAGCACTCCTGCCATCCCACTGATGATGACGAGCATGGGGACGACCTTTGCCCCGATCACCACTGTAGGATCGATTGGCATGATCCCAATCATGTCAACCCCTACTCCTACGCCGACAACAACAATGATCCCAGGCTCGATAACAACGCCTGGTGGAGCTTTCACGCCATACCCCTCAGCCTGGGCTCAATTTGATGCTGACCCGGCAAATGCTCAGGCTCTACAGGGCTATCAACAGGTGATGGCCATGATGCAACAGGCAGGGGGCTTCATGCCATTTGCCTATCCTGGCATGACGCCGCCAATCATGCCACCTTCGGTGTCGACCCCATCGACATTTGTCCCTAGGATGGTCCCTATACGCCCGGTGAATCTGACGGGGACCATGAATGAAGCAGCACCCTCAAATGTCCATGAGGTCGATGAGGCGGAGCAAGAGGCGGCCCGCAGGAGGAAGGGTAAGGCTATAGCCAAACCCAGCAAGACCCGAGATTCGGCGTTCAAACGCCTAGGGGACAAAGAGGATGGGCCCCGCAAGTCTGCCAAGCTACGTCTTGGTCCTGAGATGGGCCGGACTAGCGCAATGGAAAGACTTGG